CACCAGCCTCCGCTGCGCCATCGGTGCATCGCAAAATCTCCTGCGGTGTGGCTTCCGGCGCGTGCTTCCTCAGAAACGGGCAATGTTGACACGGGTAGCGGCCGCTGTCATCTTGGACCTGCGACACTCGCGCTGATACAGGCGGGTCGCCGGGGCGCAACACCTGGACAGCTGTACAACATCGACCGCATCTTCAATACCGCCCAACGGACCCAGCCGCCTTGCTGCTGTCGAAGCACGTCACTCCCGAAGCCACACGGACATTAGTTGTTCCCGGTGCGTGTGCCGAGAAGAGACGGTGAGCTGTGAAACCTCGTGTCCCAACCTCCACACGGCCAATACCCGAACGCGCATATCCGCGGTATCTCCCTTTATGCCAATAGTTATTCACTGTGTACCAGAGCACAGAGGTCCTGCGTCCTGCGTCCGTTGCTCGTCGTGTGGTCTTAGTCCTGCAGCAACTTAGCGGCCTTGTCGCGCAACGCACGCATAGTCAGGCACACTGCCGACCACACTTACTGGGTACGGGACGGATCGCGCGCTCCATATCAGACTGCTCGATGATCTGGCACCATACGGGAAAGTATGGGCTGCGAACATATGCACACGATACGCCTTTGACGATGAAGGCGACTCTGAGGTGGCCACGTTCGCCTGCATACAACTAATCCACATGGGTGCGCTTGTGCCCAGCGTGCATTCGCCCAACACATACACCCACTGCCTATGCCCATATATTGTCATCCTCCACTAATGTGTTGCAAAATGCGGGCACTAACTGCCAGCACATCAAAAGCCTCTAGACCTCTACTTGGAGCAGCCTTATTTGGGCTTGTCACAGTGTAAGCGGTCGACTCTGCCCGAAGGGTCCCGCTGTACTTCATCTGCAGACCAGGGCACCTGGACCCAAGTCGTCCTTCAAGGCTCTCACGTTTCTCGCTCTGTTACGCTCATTCTCTTTGTTTGTTTTTTGCACATCGTCACGAGCCCACACGAGTCAAGTCCACAGTCGCTGCAAACATCTAACATTCCTCGACGACGCTCTTCGTTGGTCACGCGCCGACAACCTGTACGCAATGCAGCACGCCTCGAACTCGCCGTGGCGGACGCCTGCGATGCAATATCCCAAACCCCAATACAGTCTCCAGCACACCATATCCATGGTCAACCTTCGGGACGATGATCAATCGTGGTACAACAACCGCGAGACCGCATCTCCAACAGTCTCATCCGCCTCGTCAGCCACCAGCCGAAGTACAACGCCCACAACAACGAACAACAACCCGTGGTCGAACGTAATGGTCAGCCCAGCTTCGACATATTCCAACAAGTCGTCCGACTCATCGTCGCCCAAGGGCAGCCCAAAACATACCCCGCAATACACCAGCCGATCGACAACGCCCCAGCCCATCGCCCCCCAGCCAATAAGGGTCATTAATCCGGTAGCAGGATTTGCGCCCATGTCACCGCCACCCTCAGCTTCTGGTGAGTCGTTCAGAAATGGCGATTACCCGGGTTCACCCATGAACCCGTACCGACAACCTGCTGCTCCCCTTGTTCCGTTGGTAAACGGATACATCAACACATCAATCTTGTCTTCACAGGGCCAGTCTCTTTCCGGGTGGTTCTACGAGCTCGTGCGAAAGCAGGGATGGGATGCTGGCCTAGTCAAGAAGATATGGCAGTGGACGTTGTCGAACCCTAGGCTCGCAATCCTCTTGTTCGTTTGCGACGATGTTGCCTCGTGGCGTCAAGCATCTTTCTTCGACCTTCGGGACGAAAGCTTGCCATTCCCGGAGGACCGTCTTCAAGGCATCGTGGGAAACGCGCGCAAGGTTGTCGACGAACAATGGCGTGCCACATCCAAGGAATTACCATTGACGGGAGCACATGTCGACTACACCGCACGTGAAACAGTGCCACTACAGCACGTCAGTCTCATCCGATCATCGCGTAATTCTGAAAAGAGTGTCGACTGGGTCAAGATGCAAGGTAGCAGCGAGGATCGTGTGCTCGTGCGAAAGCGCTTTGTCACTGCTCGCTCCGCCCAAAAGGCTGCGCTGTTGGACCAGATCAACAAGTTCAAGCAATATGAGCATAAGAACATTGCGAAGTTGCTTTGCTCTTATGCCCAGCCCAGTCATGTTGGCATCATCACGGAGAAAGCACAATACACTCTGGACGACTTCCTTGCGCTCCCTGGAAGCGACCCAAACCGCTCGAAGTTGCTGGTGGACTGGATGGGTGACTTGTCGTCTGCTCTTGAATATCTCCATTCGCAGTCCATCTGCCATCGAAGCATCCGACCTCGCAAGATCTTGATTGATGGGGCTCGCATTCTACTTGCTCCATTTGATATTGGGCAGAGCATCGACACATTCAGTCCGACGATGGCGAACTCCCAACGCCTGGACCAGCTACACACATACTTCCAAGATCAATCCTACGTCTACGCTGCACCTGAGGCTATTGTCTCACGCGGTAAGAGAATGGCAGACGTTTTCTCGCTGGGCTGCGTTTTCTTGTCGATGATGACAGTCGCACAAGGCCAGTCACTATCAGTGTTTGCACAGTACCGGGCTGCGAACACCCAGGACGCCTCATACCATGCACACCTCGACCGGGTGGCAAGCTGGCGAAACCGGCTCCACGCCGCCACCACCTCGAACCTCCGAAACGGGCTCATCGGATCTGGAAGGAAGCTGAGGCAGCTGAAAGCGGAAGCCGACTGGCTGACTATCATTGAGAAGATGCTTCTACCGGGACCGAAAGAGAGGATCAAGATGCGTTTTGTGCTAGCCAGCCTAAACAGCGGCAAAGCTACCGGCGGAAGACGACGTAGCTTAGACGGCGGCGGATACAGTGGGCAGGCGGCAGCATCGCTCGGCGTCAACGGTGCAACAACCGCGACGCTGGTCGACATTTCGGAGCACCACGCGCCACGCAAACCAGAGCTAAGCGTCTTCGATGGCTATTTCCAGACGCAGACCCGCAGGTTAGAACCAGCGGGTGGTTGGTAATTGGAAACCTCAGACTTCCAACAGCATGTCAAACGTGAAGCTCGCGCTAGGGTGATACTTGGCGAAACATGTTAGACATCGACTCTTGATGGTTGTCGGGTCATTTGGCATGCCGAAGCCGACGTTGAGTGTGAAACTTGACAGCTCGGAACGAGACAGAGCCCTACGACGCCTCAGACACGACATCGACGAGAATACGCGGAGGATGTGTGTATGGTGGCCACAGGCAGGGAGGCCTTTTTTACTTTCTTCATATCTTGTCCGTACTGGGTTTGGGTCGGACCTTTGATACCCCTTCTTGCGACCCTATTTGGATGATTATCTTGGTTCCTTCTTTCTTTTCGTTTGCTTCCCGTTTCGTAGCATCTTTATTAGCGACGCGGCATCCAGCGAGCATTTAGAGCAATGATCATAAGTTACTTCTTAGCTAAGAGGAGGCCATTCACGCAACTGTTGAACGCTAGTAATGCGTCTTTCTCTGACTCTGTCAATCACTCACATGTCCCCAGAATTTCCAATGAAGTTGTGTCCTCGGCTATCAGCTTGGCCCCATATTCAGGCGCAAAACAGATCAGTCGTTTGCGATCGTGATAGACGAACAAGATGCTCAAGAGAGAACCTCTCAATTCTGGAGAGGTGTTCTAGTGTTACATGGCGCTACACCGGTTGCAGTCTAGAGTCATTGTCTCTCACTTTATCAACCGCATCGACACCGACACCGACACAACAATATCAAAATCCAATACCCAAACCAACTCCAACCTCAATCTACTCACGATCGCAATGGCAGACCGCACACCTGCACCCCGAAAGCGCGCCACTCCCAAGTCTACCGGCGCTGAAGACGCACAAGGTCGGCTTCTAGTCAGCATGTTGTTCCAAGTGAGTCTTCCAGGAGCATAAACACATGTGACTAACTTTGATAGGTCTATCTATCTCACGAGGAGGATAGTTTTACAAAGTGGAACGAGTTCATGGACGCAGTGAGGGAGGCCGAAGGCGCCGAGGTCTTGTTTGTTGCGACCACCGAACCATTTTTCAGGTACCAACCACACAAGAATGACGTGGCTTTACGGCTGACAAGTCCATAGCTACAAGGTTGAAGCTGGCTACCCAGATCCGTTGAAGGAGCTTGTCGACTTCGACACCTTTGTCGACTTTGGAGAGTACAAGGAATACAAGGAGACTGCGGAGCCGACCGTACCGGCGCTTGAGTAGAGCTATGATATCATCTAGATAAGACTTGAATGAAGCCTGAGTGAGGCTTGTACCCAGGGCTTGCTCAGGCCCCGCTCGGGTCTTGTTCAGGTCTCACCTAGGCATCCAATCAGGAGATCGAAGCAGGATAAGCAAGGACGGCGGAATTGAGGGACATCGAAGACAGAGAACACATCAATTGAGTGCAACAAAAGGTTTCAACAACTAAACAATGTAACTTGGTGTGAATATTGAAGTAGAGTGCTCGATGGCACTTGCCTCGTCTACATCATCGTCGTCAATTCCTTCCCTCCAGGTCGTGCGAACATCTGACGATCAGGGAAAGAGCAGATGGACGGGCAAAATGCGCTCGGCTCTTAGATGGACGCATATACTCGAACATTCTGACGATGTGGATGTATGCACGGAAGTGCCTTCCAGTGAGCGCGCACTGGAACGCTGTGGTTGACACGGAGAAGATCCTTGTGCGTCGATGGAGGTCAGACCGTGGCTCCTTCCTCAGGATACAGACGCGACATCCGTATAGAACCTGACATCATCGACGCGTCGGTAAACAATGGTCACCCACCAAGGCCGCAGTAAGCACTCGGGTACATCAGAAGTCCCCCGTACCTTTCCTCCTCACTTCCACTCACATCTACCCACACCACAATCAAGAGACGTTCCCGTTTCCACTGCGTCGCTTTACATCCTGCTTCCTTTCAACTTCATTCAATCTCGCTCATCTTTGCTTGGCTTCGCTCGTCTCCGCTCTTCTTTCCAATGTCGTCGTCTCGCCATGCCGTACAATCCAAGGCCAACCTTGCCATCGCTGCCGGCGTCATGACACGGGCAGCAGCTGAGTCACTCGTGCCCCTTCAAGAAGACTTCATCAAACGATTCGTGGACCGCCTGGATAAGCCGCCGATCTTTCACAGCGAAACCACACTCTCGATTGCGGCTCTACGTTACTTCGCAATGTCACTCTTCGAGGACACACACGCTGCGATCTCCAACGTCGCTGAGACTGACCTGACTACGGCGATGGGTTGGTTCGTTGGCAATTGCGTCAAGAATATGCTGAGTACTGGCGCCATCTCTTGCAGCGGTCCTCGGTCTGGAGACATCACAGAAGAGCCTGCCGCTGGTGGTACAATGGTACCGTCGGTGAAGCGGCCAACTGCTCCTGTCCCCGTTGACAACTCACGTTCAACGAAGCGTTCTCGTATCGACCATACCAATGAAGAGAAGCTCGGCACCACTACTGTTACCGTTTCACATAGCCTCAGAGCTTCACACGTCCGTGTCTATGTCACCGAGGAGGAGACACGCATGATCGACGCGAGTACCCAGTCGGCGCCTGCCACCCAAGATGAAGAAGACGACCCACTCATTCTGTCGGATGACTTAGGTGAGTAACAAATGTTCTCTTCTGGTGTATCCTCATTAACATGCTCAGGTGGTAACAAAACAAAGCTATTTGAAGTAGTAGATACGTTTGTCCAGGCGTACGCCCCTTATGCCGCCGAGAACGAACCGGAGCAAGACCTCTCGTCTCATCTGGGCTGCTTCCTGACGAAATGGTGCCGCCACATGGACTTTGACGACGACTGGGAGGACGACAACTACGAGCGACTGAAAATGGTGATCAAAGCCTTATACTCATGATGTCCGCTCGTGCTGGTGTGACAATGTCCTCACCAGTTGGGACTACTGGCGAAGCAATGCCTCCGCTGATCGGAAGAGTTTCGGATTTTGGCCTCGAGTATCTTCATTGACACTGGTGGACAACTTCGCATGACCTGTCGGTGCGGTGGAGTGGGTGTTGATGCAGGTCAGCATGACGCTATCAAGCATGCCATGACATGATCTTATCGTACTTCTCTTCCATGATCATGTTGTACTCGCTATATGTGAATGTGGCTACCAATGAAACTTGCTATTGCCAAAGTCTTTGCCGTAGACATGCCACTGTTGATAATCATATTGTAGAGCTGACGGTACATCCGGAAGGATACAATGCCAAGTACCTGTCCAGACGTTGCCGTGGATAACGTCGACTACCTCCAGGCTGATAGTTCAGGATCTGAAAAGACTGCGAGTATCTCAACACGTGATAATACTAGTGATACTGTAGAAACGATACTCCGAACGAGGAAGACGATCGGTATTCCGCTAATATCTTGACGGCTGGGATTCGAGTTCGTCTGAATCATCTTCCTCCTCTTGCGACTCTTCTTCTGACTCTTCCTCTTCCGAGTCCGACTCGGTCCAATCCTCCTCACCCGTTGACGAGTCCCACGGCTCAGGCGACGCAGAAGAGCGACTTTCTTCCGCATCAGTGGCGCCCTCGCCATCTTCTTCCTCGGTGCTCAGCTCCAGCTCTGAACTGTTAATATCGCCATCTTCGTATTTCCGCCTCAACTTCAGTCGCCTCTGATTCTTCTTTACCCGAAGCCTCTGATCTTCCCTCTCTTGTTCCCGTGCTTTCTCTTCTTCTTTCTCTCGTCTCCTCATTGCTTCCGCTTGTCTGACCCGAAATTCTTCATCCTCCCTCCTCCTACGGGCCATGAACGCTTTCTGTTCACGCTCCTTGTGTTCCTTCGTGTTTTGTATCGCATTCCAAGTCACTCTTTTCGCTTGCCCATTTGCGAGCTCCTCTACAGAACCCATATCGCATTGCATCCTCATGTACCCGTTTCCTGCGAACCACATCTTGATCCACCGACACCGACTCGTTGTTTGTACGACAATGGGCTCGAGCGAAGCCTCCTGTGGCCAGTCAAACGGTTTGAAATCTCCTTTGATTTGTCTGGGTCCAACGATAGTGCCATAAGTTTCCGGGCGCCCACAGTGGCAGTCCATGAAATCCACTTCTGCGTCAGGATCATGAAACTCAATCCATTGATCCACGCAAAATTGTTTGAACTCCATGTTGTCTATATTCCAGAGCAGGAATTCCGTGAAGACTTCGCTTGAGAAAAGACTCCACTTGCCGTGCTTGACGTAAGGGTTGTAGATGCCCGGCGCGGGCTTGCCTTCTTCCAACGTCTTTTTGAGCGACGCGAACGCTGCACTGACTTGGGCGTCGCGCTCCATTACTTCTTTGATATGATGGACGTTTAGTTCGCGAATGATGTTTTCGGGGTCGCCGCGAGGAACACCACCGATTTTCCAATGCACCTCAAGTCGACGGCGGAGTGGCACTCGTTCCATTGCTTCAATGTACCTGGTAATCTCGGCTCTGGCTTCTCTCAAGCCGTCGGGTACGGGATCAGGCGGCGGGTCTTCGGGTTCAATTCTGATCTTCTTGTGCGCTCGTACGGAGGTCTCGGTGGACCTCTCGAGACGAGCAGTTGCCGTGCGCTTTGGTGGCATGTTTGATGGCGGATTTTAATATTGTCAGAGGAGGGTTTCCTACTTCTCCGCAAGCAACGTGGAAGTATTGGGCCTTTTTTGTGCCGCGCGAGAGCAGTTGCAAGGATGCGCGCCTCCACCGACCCAGCAAACCTTGAAGTGCCTGGATAGCCGCTATCTAACAGGACTGAGACTACTCCGGAATGCGAGATATATTGTAGGGAAGCTGGATTGTGGACTCTGTTGCTCTCGTCACGCAGGTCCTGTGACGATGCAATTGCGGCTACATTGAGTTGAACGTCGCCAACGTAGGGTAAGTTGCATACGTCACGGTCGCCACTATGATGTCTCATGATCCGTGCTCCTCCTTCCAAAAAGCATAGTTTGAGCTGAAGTATTCCTGGGCGAAAGTCACAGATCATCACATTCCAGCCCTGAATCACAACCGGCAAATCAAGTAATGGGTATTGTGATGCAACGGTTCGTTTATATTGTACACATTGCGGATCATCATGGTATCCTCATGTCACATATGATACATGCGCAGTGCTCCCCGGGTGCGCAAACTTGAACCCTCGACGTAGCAAAACGTGGGGTAAGTCTTCCCCTCCTCTCCGGCCTTCTTCCGACACAGCCCCTTTTCCTGTTCCCTGCGCTATCATGAATCTGTACAAGCGAAGAGTATGCCGTCCGTCCATGCCATGCATGCCCAAAGTAGATCCCCTACAACTCCAAAAGTGTGGTTGATGCCGCGTATCTTACACAATGACCTCTCCGTGGTCGACGTGGTTTGGCCGCCACTTGCTCGTATCCAACTCGCCCTCCATGCTGCTCGGGACGGTGACCTCGACCGGCTTGTATAGGTACCATGCCTTCAATGCTGCTGCCGCTGCTCTTGTCTTGGCCTCATCTAATGAACTGCCTGATCCCTCTCCTAGCTTGTCCTTTCCGCTGTATACCCCAACCACGAAGACAGGATGTCTGCTCAAGCGACCAGTTTCTGAGATCAATCGGGCAACCGGTGGCTCGAAGCCTTCTCGTGCGCATAACCGTGAGAGATCGCGTGTCGGCATTCGGAAATCGAAAATTGTGCTGATATCGAGATGTCGACTGAGGAAGTGGTCGCGGAAGAAGCGCTTGACGAGTGGGGAGCCAAGGTGGACGTGCAATGCGCCGATGAGGGCCCGGACGAAGGATTGGGCTGCCTCTTCCAGTGGTACTGGCGTGCTTTGTAGCGCGTGCGGGCTGGGTGCGGCATTGTCGGAGCCAAATTCGTCTGTCTTCATGATTTTGTGTGTGGTGGTAATATTCCACTTCCAGGGTGCTTGCCGCCTCAACTCCGCTGGGAGGGCATCGCCCGACTGTATCCTCTTGAATTGTAATAAGCCAGGGTCGACTTCACCACCCGGCTCCGCCGCCGCCTCAATACCCCATTCGCTTGCGATTGTGGTCAACGCTCTCGGTCCGATGTATGCCTCTGTTGCGGCGAAGACGACGTCCATTGGCAGGCGTGGGTAGTTGCATAGAAGCCACTCGGAAGTGTAGTAGCCCAGCAGCTGGCGTCCGAGTATTGATAGCGAGGCATTATTGAAGGCGGGGTTTGGGTCGGCGGAGGGGTGGATGAGGGTTCGTGCGAGAACCGGGAGGGGGAAGCGAGGTGGGAGAGATAATCGACTCCGGAGGGCGTATAATTTTGTCGAACGTTCGGCGGCGCTGGGATGTGGAGATGGGAGGCTCTCGAGCGGGAGCCGCCTTCTTGGTCTGGGTGTTGACGTTGACGGTGTGGCAGAGTTTGCGGCAATCTCGAGTTCCAATTCACCGTCGTCCGGAATTGCTACTGTGCTCTGGAGCCGAGCCTGTATCCGGTGGCTATGAGGTATGATGCTTCTCCGCACGTTCTTTGCCGCTGTGTATGGGCACGAGGGCCGGCGTGGCGAGGGCGCACCCAGCAATTGCGAGGCGCATCTTGATATGGGTATCCGCTTCATTAAGACAAGACGTAAGAGAAGACGGCGGCAGGATCAGGAGCGGCGGAGTCGGCAGCAGCAGCAATTGGCCGGTCGTGTGTTCACACAGGTCATGATCGCGACTGCCAAAGAATTTCCGCCAAGCTTCGGGGTCCGTGCTAGCCCTCCCATGCGACAGCGACCTCAGGGCAGCTCCGCAACAGCAACCCCACGAACCCGCACAACCACCTTTACAATGGGCGGAGGAGGAAAGATCCCGTATGAATTGCCCGCCAATCGCTTGCCAGTGCAGAGTTGACGTCGATTAGATACCCCAAGCACGTCTGGTCGCCGGCCGGTGGTTGGTACGCCCAACCCGCCAACTGGAAAGCCAACACGGCCGTCGTAGGCCTCGCCCTCGGCAGCATCGTCGGCATGGCCTGGATGCTTAGCGCAAACCGCGAATACCGCGACAAGATGCCCGAACGCCACCGATTCTTCCCCAGCCGATAGTACGACATACATGGATATCCTCAGATCAGACTTGGAAGCTAACAACAGACAGCTGGACCAAACAGATTCGGGAACACGAGCGGAAACAAGATCAGAGCATCATCGAGAAGACTCTTGAGGGTTAGATTGGTTATGAGTGGGGAGGAGGAAACAGCGACCGCGACTATGGCTGTACATAACTAGCCAGGCGCTGCTTGAAATCTGAAAGCCTATCTTCGACACGAACCCCGTTCCACGTCTCCCCGTCTGCTGATTCTGAAAGAGTGGGCATACCGACTTGCTCAATGGCGAAGCTCGCCGAAATGGATCCCCAAATCGCAGCCTCCTCGAGATGCCCTGGTACCCGAACCAGGCCGACCGCCAGTCCGCCGAGAAAGCTGTTACCTCCTCCTGTAGGATCTTCCACCTTTTCTGCTGACTGGTGGTACGCAGGCATCCATTTGCGTAGCCCTGCACCCAGCCCTTTGCGCATCACCAGGCAACCGTCTTTTCCACAACGCACGACGACCCCACCATTGCCATTACCCACACCACTGTCTAGCCACTGACCGCATAGCTCTTCGATTGTCCGGAAATCCACGTGATCCGTTCCATCTGTGTTCTTGCCGAAGAAGCCGCCAAGTTCCCCGTGATTTGGACTGACAATGTCGACATGTTTCAGCGCTTTTAGGCAATTATCGTACTCCTCAGTCGTGCACAGGTCAGGAACAGGCTCCCAGATGAATATTGGGCGAGGAATATGAGCCGAGTTAGGGTGTTGCTTGCGCAATGCGATGATGTTCTCAACCAGGTCGATGCAACGCAACGGGGAACAGATCAGATGAAACGACTTGGACCACAAGAGGTCTGTATTCCTCAGATCCTCATGGTTCACCCGCAGCTTCGGCGTCAAGTATCGAAAGGCTTCATCAGAGTGATTAGATATGCCACCACTCACTGATGAATCATATGCACTCACCTCGATGCTCATTCTCACCAGTATATCCGTTCCAACCTCGTGTGGTCAGCCGATTAGGCGTCTCACGTATCAGTGCACCAGTCTTCCATTGTGCGATAAAGTCGCGCAGCTCAGGCGGAAAGTCAGATCCGCAGTCTACAATCCAACCCACCGACTCTGATTGTGGCGGCGGAGAGAAGATGCGTGCGCCTAATGCGGAGTATGATCCAGCTCCACCGACAATGTCTTTGACTGCCGGCTTTGGTGGGGGAAACTCAATCTCATCTTGACAGTTTCAGTGGCTTGAATGTGTTGATTGAGACTTGCTGCATACCGATGATGAACATGCCCAGCGTGCAAAAATCAATCTTGCCATAGTTGTCGTTTTCTGCGCCAGCCATGTTGGATGTTTCCAAGTCGCCTTGTGTAGATCGCAAGGTTGATAGTCTGCCGCTGACGTGCATGTCTCGAACGGACCAGGCTTGGCTGCAGATGGTTAGCGCAACGTGGGCAGCCGTGGCCATGCGCCGGGGAGAGCTGACCCAGTGAGGTTCTGCCTGCAATTGTGCTTTTCAAACTAAATCTCCGACAGTCCTCATATTCATATCATCGAGAGTCTGGGTTGTTGGATCACGGCCTCTCTCTACTCCGAACCAACCAACGCGTCGCACGAGCTGCAGCGTGCCGCGGCCGCCCCTTCCCCGAGCATTCAAGATACCTGTCCTACCTTGCAAACGCTGCGACGTGCCTTCTCCACATGGCGAACAACATGAATAACCTGACGACGCTGATCAAGCGGTAAGTACCTTCCGTCCGTGACTATCACCTACTAGCACCCAAACCTATCATCCTACAACACTCCGCGCATCTCACACACTCTATGAGACGACCCCACGATGGCTTCCAGGCCCGAACAAGCACACATCCTCGGCCGCCAGGGGCAAATCCACCTCGCAGCAGACAATGTACTGACGTCTATGGTCCGTAGGCTCGAAGCTGCCACCTCGCGTCTCGAAGACATCGCGAGCACCTCCCTACCCAGCAGCGGCGATGGAGCTGCCAGCCTCAATGGGGCGTCTACCGAGGCTACTCCAGGCGTCACCGCCGCGAACACAAGTGCCAGCACCCCCAAACTCGTCGCTGAGAGCGCACCACCAGCGATCGAGGCATTCGATGAGCTGGTCAGCTCAGACCTGAAGAACTGGCTGGACCTGAGCGGAAAGCTGGGAAGCGTCATTGAGGGCCAGTCCAAAGCAGTCGAGGGTGCCTTCGCCGCCCAACGCCAGTTCCTCTTCATCGCGAACAAGGCCAAGAAGCCCGATGACCGCACTCTCATGGAGCTGCTCAAGGACCTCCAGGCGAGCATGGAGAAGACGGACGAGTTCCGACAGAGCAACCGCGACCCTGCGCTCAAGGACTCCGTCTCCATGGTCGCCGATGGTGTTGGCTCGCTTGGATGGGTGACAATTGGCCAGGGCGGAGGCATGAAGCCCCATGAGCACATCAACGAGCTGTTCGGCGGAGCTCAGATGTACGGCAACAAAGTGCTTAAGGAGTACCGGGACAAGTAAGACTTTCTGCCATTCTACGCGAGCAAGCACTAACAGATTCAGGCCCGACGGTGAAGTGCATGTCAAGTGGGTGCAAGCCTACTACAAGCTGTTCAAAGCTCTCGCCGAATACGCAAAGAAGCACCACGCGACAGGTGTAGCCTGGAACAGCAACGGCATCGAAGCCAAAGATGCCGCAAAGGAAATCTCAACGGCACCTCTCTCTGGTGCATCCAACATTCCTTCACCACCACCCGCTCCTCCAGCCGGAGGCGTCCCAGCACCACCTGGTCCTCCTCCACCACCAGGCCCACCGCCGCCACCAGGTGCCGCACCAGTGGCCAAGAAGGCCGCGCCCGACATGAATGCTGTCTTTGGCGATCTCAACAAGGGCTCAGATGTCACAAAGGGCCTGAAGAAGGTCGACCCAAGCCAGATGACGCATAAGAACCCATCATTGCGAGCGGGCGCATCCGTCCCTACACGAAGCGACAGCAACAGCAGTCTCAGGAGTAAGAGTCCTGCGCCGCCCAAGGCGAAGAAGCCGGAGAGCATGCGGACGAAGAAGCCACCGAAGAAGGAGCTGGACGGGAACAAGTGGATAATAGTATGTATTCTTGCTGAAGAAGGAAGACTTGTTACTAACACCCGCAGGATAACTTCGACTCCCCAGGCGAGACACTCGAAATCGACGCCGAAATCAACCACTCCATCCTCATTTCGCGCTGCAAAAACACCACCATCCGCATCAACGGCAAAGCCAACGCCCTCTCGCTCGACAACTCCTCCCGCACATCCCTCATCATCGACTCGCTAGTCAGCTCGGTCGATGTGATCAAGTGCCCCAACTTTGCGCTGCAAGTCCTCGGCACCCTCCCCACCATCCTCCTCGACCAAGTCGACGGCGCCACCGTATACCTCTCCAAGGACTCGCTAGCAACGGAGGTCTTCACAAGCAAGTGCAGTAGTATCAACATCAACCTGCCGACCGAAGACGACTACGCTGAGAACCCGTTGCCGGAGCAGATCAGGAGCTACGTCAAGGATGGTAAGCTTGTTAGTGAGATCGTGGAACATGCTGGGTAGATGGTGTCTTCTAGCGTTCTGTGCTTTCGCGAATAGGCATTTTGGATATCCGCTGCGTTGCGTGGATGTGACTGCTACGCGATTTGCATAGCTAGCTTAGCCGGTGCGGACGGAGTGGGTAGCTTCGCATCTGTAGGATAGATCTGTATAGACCGTTATTACTACACACGCAAGTGGCCTTTTCCCACGATGAGCTTGAGTGCAGGAACTTCTTCCCTGGTGATAGTGGTTACCTCGACACAATTTCCTGAAAACATGGCCGTAACACCTGGCACCACATTAGCTTGAACTATCAGCCTGGAGGTAGTCGGTAGCGTCTTCCGTGCCGCTTCTACATATTCGTGGATGGTGCAGTGAGGCGGTGCAGAGTAGGCCATGGTTCGCATACCATGTCTCACTGTCCACTGACCCCTCTGCAGACGGATACAATAATGTGAACAGTACGATTTGTTTTCGAAGTAGATCCGATTTCCGTGTCGAGTTAAGGCACGTACGTGCGGCCATGTGCCCGCTGTTACGCCGCCTTCTCTCACCTTCAGGTAAAGGTAGCAGGCCTGATCGACGGGTATATACTCAACCTCGTTACTGACCTATCTCCGAGTCTTCTCTCCTCCACTTCGGAATCTTTTGCAACTCAACACGAACTCAAAGTACAAGATCAAGATGGTTGGTGTCGATATACCTACCATGATGGAGATCCAGTGCGAGGTCGCTCCGTCTACGCTTTTCGATGATCTAGCTGAACAAGAACAACGTGGTAAGCTTGTCAAGTGTCACCGCTCATGTTACGAATACTGATCGTCTGTTCGCAGTAACCGCAAAGACCCCTGGCAGTGGCATCAACATCGGCATTCCGAGCACGACCGTCACCATGGCTGAAGCGACTAAGGTTGGACGTGTCATGGCCGCCTACTTCGGCACTGTGCCAAGAGGCAGATTGGCGAACGTTGTCGGCCTGCACGCCGCGGTGCCAGCCCAAGAATTGGCAGCCAAAACCTTCCGCGCGGTCATTTACAAGATCCAAAGCGAGAAGTTCGGTCGAGATTCGTTCATCCAGAAGTTTGTTCGCGGTAAGGTGAGCACTTCCAACTTCCATACCCAACAGAACAATCTTGCCATCGACGCGCGCATCTGTGAGTTTCCAGTCGCGAACGAAACTCAAACCGACATCGATCTTCGCGCCACCAATCGTCAAGCATACCTCGCTGCAATGGCAGCGAGTGAACAGCTCTGGATCAATACGTACACTGTCGGATTTGATGAGGCCAAGGTTGCGCATGGTAAAGCGAAGGGTGCGAAGAAGGTTCGTTTGGCACGAACACGCGAGCTCTATCGCGTCATGAAGGAAGCACCACCGCGCTGCAATGTCAACCTTGCGACCCTTCTGAGCAAAGCTCAAGCTGAAAAGGAAAGGATGATTCCGTTATCACTCCGTGCGTTCGACGACCGATTCGAATTCTGGTTCGAAAACGCTCAACGAAAGGACGTTATAGCCTCGCACTTTGAAGCTAGTATACTGGCTGGTGTGGATATCCGGTAAGTACTGTTTTTACCAATCCATGCATACCATTCTTGCAACTCACTGACTTTTTTTTACAGTCGCATGGCCACCGACGCAGCCCCCGTATCTGGAGAAGCTCCCATTCCTCCCTTTTACACAATTGTCGCAAACCTTTTCGGACACGCTTGCGACCTTCTCCACGAGCATATCGTGGGGCCGTTGGAGCTGAAGCGTAATGAGCTCCTGCGGAACAATCGTTCTCGTACCACGGTCTCGTACGACATGCCAGTTGCTAGATACAGTGCTTGCTACTATTCCATCGACCGTCTACAATATGATTTTGGACTCAATGATGTTACGACTGAGTATGGAGGCTGGACCGACATTCCGGTCTTGGTCCCAGAAACTCGAGGCGAGAAGCGCTCGGCGCCCCAAGAAGATGGAAGGGATGTCAGACAGATGGATAAAAGACCCTGTGTCGCTGCCGTATAGAGACGTGGGAGAAATGATGAGAGGCAAGGGGATAGTTAGGAGTTTGGTGGCTTAGCGAGGGATGGATGACGTCACAGGATGGCCACGGATGGCCTGTGCTGCGGTAGATACGCGTGTCGCGTCTCACGAGTTAGGAAACCACGCGCCATCCTGGCGTCTACATCAATACATTATCACAAGAGTTTCAGGTCTTTAGAGCGTTGTAGTCGTCCAGGCTACAGATGTATCTTCGCAGTGCTCTGGTAAACCCTGCTGTAGTAGGCAAAGTTGGGAGTCTGCCGAGAAGAACCCAGCTCTTTCCTTGCTCAGTGTAGCTCCGCTGTCGCTGCTGCTGCTGCTTGCTCACACCACTCACGGCCTCATGGAGAAGCGGGTGAGCTCACTCACTCGACGCCCACAGTATTCGCGATCCTACTGTAATGCGAGGCAACGACACCTCCTCCTGCGAGCGATCGGCCTCGATGCGGAAGGCGAAGGGAACCAAACTGAACGTTGGACGTACGCATTGGCGGTGCTCAAATTACCGGTGAAGATCAGGTCGCCCCGGCTCAATTGTACGCGATGTCAACCGTGAGATTGGTCAAGCTCATGTAGAAGCTGACGAGCAGCTTTGGACAACCGCCTACGATCATATCTTCCCAGGGCCAAGGTTGACCTGCTGCTCCACAAGGAACAGTCTACCTATAACCGATGATCAAGCCAGACATTTCGACACTGTGCCCATAGTATTGGGGTAAGAGAAGCACGTGGCGTCGTGGCTGACCCAATCCGCAACTCCGCTTCCTCCTGTCCTCAGGTAAAGGCAGTGGGCTGGGTGGGGGGTATATACTTCAGTTCTGCTGCTGACTTGACTTCCAGTCTTCTACACTCTCTTCTTTACAGTACCCTATCACAATACTTCCTTGGTATCGACACACTCCGTACCACAAACTCCTTCGCCACCATGGCAACAGTATCCTTGGATGTACCTCCGGCGATCCATGTCGAGATTCCGGCACATACTCTATGGGCTGAGCTCGTTGATCAGCCACAGCGCGGTAAATTTGACCGCATCACTGTGTATCGTACAATGCTGACTATGTATCTTCTGCAGTAACGGCAAGGTCTCCGCAGAGTGGCTTCGACGTGGATGACCCAGTCTGGACCGTCACGCAAGACATCGCAACCGAGAGAGCACGAATCATGGGCGCATATTACGGCACGATCCCCTAACATGTCTCACGCTATCGTTGGTACGCCTGGGGACGGAGCAGGGCTCAAGCTCGCCAAGATCGTCTTCAACAGGGCCCGAGATACTGTGCAGACTGAGCGTTACGGTCCCAGGTCGTTCATACAGAGTGACATCCGCGGGAAGCTCAGTGAAAGTACTGATCACGAACTGGATGCTGGATGCATGTATCTGTCAATTTGAGGTCGAAGGCGAAGGTGAAGCAAGAATTGCTAATCGAGACGCAACCCGCGCGGTGTATGAACAAGGCATCGCAGATCTTCAGCAGTCATGGGAACATGAGTACATTCATGCTTCGGAGTCGGCTGATTCAGCTGCTGCTGGTGCCCGCGGTCTGGACAAGAAGCGGTTGGAGCGCGCTCGCGAACTCTATCGGGTGATGGAAGACGCGCCCCCGGTCTTTGACATTGACCCACCCAATGGTGGCCCGTACTGGGAGTCAGCAGCCGAGTACCAACAGGAGAAGCTGGTCCCGTTCATGAACCGGGCCAAGGTTGATCGTCTGAGGACGTACGAGGGGTACTTCACAAAAGACATGGTCGCATCTCATTACAGCACTGTCATGGACATCGTGGACATTTGGCAAGTGTTCGATGCCGGTTCAGCATGTGGCATTAATCAGTTTAACTAACATCTCTCAGCCGGCTTGCCGAGAACGCCAACATCAACGGCGTCCCCCAATTCTGGTCGATGATCGTCAATCAATGGTCACACACTTGCGATCTTGTACTCAGACACGTAACGGACTCTCAGCTCGGCATTCGTAGGGAATTGTTGATGATAGATCCATCACTCCGCGCGGCCGCCTACCACCACTGGTCAGACCGAAGCCTTGAGTGCTTCCAGCACATCCGCCGACTCTTCAACCGCCTCGGGTACAATGTCGGCTATGGTGAATGGAAAGATATCCCTATTCCGAGCGTGGGTCATCGAGGCAGGAAGCGAGCGAGGACCGACGAGTGAAAGGCACGTCGCAAAGCGCCGTTTAAATTGACAGGTGAGGGTTTAATGTACGGAGTGGGAATGGACTGAGACGACGACATTGTGTCGGGCCAATGCCACGGTATTTTCCTTTATTGCGCGCGAATACTACGACGGAGTTAGCCCCGATGAGACGAGCGAGTGATTTATTTGACTTTGGATGCGACGATCCTTCCCGAGCCATCGGAGTCTTCGCCCATGCACAACCATCAATCCCCATCAATTCGCATCGAATGACCTTCGACCAATCTTTGATGCATATCAACATCGCGCTATCGTTCAGCGAATACATTATATGCGGAGGCGAAACACCTAAGTGCAAACGAGGCCGTTCAGCTTGCGACGAGCCACCAACCATCGACGGCGATATCGCGGCGGGAGTCGTAAGCCGGAACTCACCCCGACGAGACGAAATGATGTCCGAGCTGTGACACGCGCTTCAAGTCACCCACAGGATCGGTCGACCACGTTGCAGTATGAGCTCTGGGTGGTGTGCGTTGCTCCATCTACCTGCTTCTCGCAAATGCACCACCCACGACATCTTCATCCCGGTGGGCTGTGCAGCTCATTATCAGTACCATCATTTCTGCCCACTGGCATATGGCGGCGAGTACGCAGCACTATGCAACCACGACTCCAGAAACTTGTACACACAGCGCAACCTCTAACAGCCACTATGTAGGAGGCCCTGAGATCCACGACGGTCGCTCTTCGTGGACCTTCAAGCAAGTTCGAGTCCTACCATCGCCCGATTCACCACACGGCGCCCACCGGCTCGAGGTTGCATACGACAACTGAACAACGCGCATCAACAGCTGTAGGCCACCGGGGTCTGATCATGTTCACCAAGACAGCAGTCGGAATCGATGGAGATGCTGCGGACATGTTGAGACTATACTTTGCCAACAAGTCTAGTCCTACAGTCACGAAGCAATACATGCGTGGTAGATACTTCATCTTCGTTCGGAGAAACGTATACTAACATATTTCTTTACAGCCATTTGCCCATCTAGCCGATGTAGTAGCTGTCATTGGCGAGGTCTAGCTTTCTACGCTTTGGGACGCTACTGCTCACTTTGCGCGCTCATCGCCTGTACGTGTCCTGCGTGTCATTGGCTGCGTGTCATACTCTGACACCGATAACACGCCTCATGGTCGTACCGTGTAGGTAAGATCAAATCGGCTATAACGTCGTACTCTACCATGTCATATCAGTGCAGCAAGACTGGTATCACTCGACAGTAGCAGACACTGGGAATATATGCACGGGGATTGTAGGTCACGCCACATCAGAAAGAGCGGGGATACATTCAAACAACTATCACTCGACGCACAACTTTCTCAAATCGCTCGAATACCTCCAGGATGGCTCATGACCAATCACACTCATATCACAGAGACCAATGTATACGTCCAGACGCCGGTTTTTTTTGATCACTGATCAGATTGTTTTCATCCGTATCTACATTATGAGGAAAAAGATATACTAAAGGAATCATCCAGGTTACTCGCGCCACCAACTCTTCTACCCTCCCACGTCCCTCGTGGTGCCTCCAAAGGGTGCAAGGTCCGTCTAGTTGTTCTGCTTGTTCTTGCCGCCGGCACCTCCAGCCTTTCCTCCCTTGCCCTTGTGGTGAGGCTCAGGCATAGCCTCACGGTTGTTGAGCTTGACCTTGCCGCCAGCGCCGCCAGCACCTCCGGCCTTGCCTCCCTTGCCTTTGTGATGCGGCTCAGGCTCGCGTCCGAAGAGCTTTGCCAAACCGCCAGCACCGGCACCTCCAGCACCACCAGCGGCACCACCAGCCTTACCTCCCTTGCCCTTGTGATGGGGTTCGGGGACAGCCTCGCGGTTGTTGAGCTTGGCCTTTCCACCAGCACCACCAGCCTTGCCTCCCTTGCCCTTGTGGTGTGGCTCAGGCTCACGTCCGAAGAGCTTGGCCAAACCGCCAGCACCGGCTCCGCCAGCACCTCCAGCCTTGCCTCCCTTACCCTTGTGATGGGGCTCGGGCACGGCTTCGCGGTTATTGACCTTTCGGCCACCAGCTCCACCCGCAGCCTTGCCGCCTTTGCCCTTGTGGTGGGGAGAGCGAGTGTGGAGGTCGGCCCAGTGAGCGTCGTCCTCCTCCTGGGTCAGCTCTTCGGCCTCGCGGTTGTTGAGCTTGCCCCGGCCACCGGCACCACCTGCACCTCCAGCAGCTTTTCCGCCCTTGCCCTTGTGGTGAGGAGAGCGAGTGTGGAGGTCGGCCCAGTGAGCGTCGTCCTCTTCTTGGGTCAACTCTTCAGCGTCACGGCCGAAAAGCTTGGCCAAGCCGCCAGCGCCACCGGCACCGGCACCAGCACCACCAGCCTTTCCACCCTTGCCCTTGTGATGAGGAGAGCGAGTGTGGAGGTCGGCCCAATGAGCATCGTCCTCTTCTTGAGTCAACTCTTCAGCATCACGGCCGAAGAGCTTGGCTAAGCCACCAGCGCCGGCGCCACCGGCACCAGCACCAGCACCGCCAGCCTTTCCGCCTTTGCCCTTGTGGTGACGAGCCTCGACTCCACGGTCTGCAAGGGCAGCAACGAGGTTGGATGTGTGGACAGGTCCGCTTCCCTGGAGAACTGTAAGTAAATGACATGCCAAGGATCGTCGAATAACTTACTGGCATGCGTGCCTTGACAGCGTTGTCAACGGCTTGCTTGTTGTTTGGCACAACGTAGGCAGAGGTTGAGGCACCCAGGGCCAAAAGAGTAAGTGCGGTAAATCTCATATTGAATAAAGTTTAACTGAGTCTGGAATCGGTTGAAAGAATGGATCTGCCAGCAGAGAAGAATAGATGAAACAGAACTGAGCAGGATGTGAGAAGGAATGAGCACGTTCAACGTTGATGCCTTTTACTTCTGGAGCTTCGAGATGCTTTATAAGTCAACTCGACTCCTGGTAGGCACGGCGGTTGCATGCTTGCTCGCTCTCGCCTTCAACTCCTGAGACATGTTGCATTGCCTACGGCACAGAAGCGGAGGTGGCACCCCACCTGCCGCCTGCAGGAAGCCACTGTGCTCGCTTCGATGCGATGGCGATGGAAGGCGTTTGCATGGGAAGCCAAACACAGAAAGTCTTGACGGCCTGGCGTCTCCACCAACGACACCGCCAGCCGTCGACAAGGCCTGTCGGTGTCTCGAGAACACGGTCATGTCCAACCCAGCCGCCAGGCTACGAGGTCCTGCCTCAGGCTCCGCGACAACACCCACCGGGTACCTTTCGCGCATCGCCAATGCGATCTGGAGCTTGCTTTGATAGAGACTGTTGGTCCTCGGGAACTGACCACTCATTTGGTCGAGACTAGTCCCGAAAGGGTTTAACCTCGGAAACCATTGGCGCGCAGCCGCGGTTCTGTTGTTCCAGCCCTGGCAACTTTTGACGTTATTTCCGTTGTTCTGTCATCATGCAGTTGGGACGTTTGTTCCATGTGCGTGTCATGTCAGTGTAAGAATCTCGTTTTGGCTGGCGCGCCAAGCTGAAACGATGGTGCCGAATTATGAACATCCAGTCTTGGCTAAGTGTCCACTTCGAAACCCATGCAACAGTTGAACCAACGAAAAAGCGGCGACGATCCCGCCTTCTGCGTCTCAGAAGGCTTGGTAAAAGCTTGATGCCTTGGAGCAAGGCTATTGTTGCCTGGGCAGATGGAACAAGACGCCTTGGAGAAAGCGGCCTGCACGGCATAGCGGCACCCTTTGAGATGTTCCGTGTTTCGGTGACCTACCCATGGCGATACCGAGAACGTATCGGGGGTCGATGTTGGCAGGTCTACCATAGTCTTCGCGCCAACGTCTCCCACTTACTCGCTCGCTGGTCTTCCATCTCTATTCATCTTCGTCCTATTCAAGCGTTGAGCGCAGCATTCTATTCTCTATCGCAGGTCGACTAATATTTCTCCTTTCAACATCACTTTATTGTGCTTTCATCTCATTCATTGTATTCTTCGCGCAATCGAAAAACATCATGGAAAAGTACACAGATTCCAGCTCATCGCAAGGCGACGCCGAGACTACCGCTTTTATTACAACACCCTACCAAAGCGATGACAGGCAACGGCGGAGAAGCTACATCTATCTCACACTGTTCAACTTGTTCCTTTTCACAGTGTCAATGCTGTCGTTGTTATGCTCGGTCATGTCGCAAAAAGACTACTCGGGCCACTCGGCGGCTAAGCTAATGGATCAGTTCGACATCTTCTGTAAGTACTCAGATCCTAATCGTACCCCTAATGAATACTGGCTGATATGACCTAGCGCCTGCAAAGCACGTTGTCGAGTACAGTCACACAAAATTTGAACTACCCAACCCTTTGAACTCTTCGAAGTATGTCGGCATTACGGATGATGTAGAGAACGCATGGATGGACGTTGCATATCGTAAGTCATCATCTCTACTCCCTTATACCCGCGCCCTCTCCACCCAAACCCCATCACTAACACATCACAGTGCCCGACCAAATGGTCTCCATGGAAGACTTCCCCAAGCTACAAAAGCCCGCCGACGCCCTGCAAGTCACCGACCCCAAGACAGGCGAAACAGGCTACCGAGTCGGACTAGAAGTCTTCCATCAACTGCACTGCCTCAACCTCCTCCGCATGTCAACCTACCCCGACTACTACCCCAAGCTCTGGTGGAGCGACACCAACGACAAGCCTGAAAAGGTCAGGGCGCATCTAGACCACTGCATCGAGATCCTCCGCATGAACCTCATGTGTCTTTCTGACGTCAACGTCTTTACTTTCCACCCACAGGAGGGTAAGGAGGGATACTGGCCTGACTACGAGAGTCACCATGTTTGCAGGAACTTTGACAAGATCAAGGATTGGGCTAACGACAATGCGATGCCGGACCTTGATGTGTAGGCTTAGCTTTCTTGCCGGTTGGAGACGGCGCGTGTAAATAGAATAATAGTATCGACAATGCATCTATAGCGGATGAGCAGCATGATCACGTAACGTATCCGATGCTTATGATGAGTGATCGAACACCCTTTTTGTCATTGTTGCATGTTGCATGCTGTTCACTCAGATTCCTCTTCCCCATATGAAACTTGCTGTTTCAGTTTCGCGTCACAGTCCGTATGTTTCGCCCCGCTTATGCACCTTTGTTATGCAACATCATGCTTTGCTCTTCCAACTGCTTGGGCAGAGGGCACATGAATCGCTGTTGAATTGCTCCAGTTGGTGGCTGCAACGATGACACCCTTGCTCAGGTGGGCAAGGTTACGAGAGCGAATAAGTATGCGGGTGCAAGGCAACCTGCGACGCCGGCTCATGTTTGCACTCATGTCATGGTAGACCGGCTGAGTGAACATTGTGATGTTACAAAATGCAAGCTTTTGTGAGTCTATATTGGTATGTAACGACGCCACCAACCCAGGCAAAATATAAACTCTCTAGCGAAATAGTTGAGTAGGAAACCCCAGTATGAATGCAGATAATGGACATCTAGCAATGTCAAGAGTGGGGTATATGTCAGTGAGAAGCAGAATAGCCGCCGAAGCAGTCCCCCGTCTTCTAAACGCCGGAAACCATGTCTTCCTCCCTGATGACGTCTCTTACAGGTCTAGATCCGGCATTTGTAGATCGTCGCCTGGCTCCATAAGATTCATGAGATAGCGTGAGCCTGAGAACCATTCCTGCATGGGATTGGAATTTCCCTGAGACGCTCCAAAACCGAAGCCTGACGAACCAACGGCCTCCATGTTATTCATCGCCTCGCCTTGCCCAAACGCGGTCGTTGTTGATGCAGTCGAAGCGTTGGGATATGTCGTGGGCCATGCGGTATCAGGCATCAAACCAAGTGCGTTAAGATATGGGTCGAACTGAGCCATGGCGCTGAGGTCCAGCTGTGTGCCATCAACGGTCGTGTAGTATCCTGACTGGTTAGTCTGCATGACACCTCGTGATCTCGACGCAGCGTCCTGCTTCTTAGCCGTGACGTAGAGTCTGGCGACTCGTAGAAAGAGGTGGCACATCTTGTAGAGCTTGTCTGCACCTTCGGAAATCGTGCGGCAAGATTCGAGGCTTGCGACGAAGTCGGCAAGAGAGTTCAGGTCTGGTTCAACGTCCAACGTATCTGCCTTTTGAATGGAGTGGCAGAAAATTACGATGAAACTGTAGGTATGAATTAGCTGCGGTCATGTGCGGGACGGGATGAGGTGACTTACGGGGTGAAGGGTGCCTGGAGCACCGACCAGTGTACGTATCCCGACCACAAGTCCTCTTGGCCCTTCTTGTTGAACTGTGTGCTAGCCCTCATATGCGCTACAAGAGCCGCTCTCGAAGATTCGAGGCACTCCTGATTGAAGCTCATATTGTTTGGGCTGACCGCGCGCTGTATGAGTGCGCATGTTGAGTAGTGCATGACGACATCGGAGTGGAAGAAGATGTCCTGGACTCGTTCGAAAGAACCTTCAACCAAGACGGTCAGTGGGATTCGGATGTCGCAGACGGTAAAACTTACCCTGGACGTATTCATTAACTTCAGATCCTACACCCTTGGACCTGTGAACGTAGCGCTTATATTGAGATGGAAGCGGTGTCTCATTCGGACTGTGGCCTATCTTGTTCGATCGTTGCGCACCGATATGGTACGTATTGCCTTGTTGCGCAAAATCAACGATCGACGCATCCCCACGCTCATACCAGGCTTGGTTTAGGCTGTTGACAAGTTCGATTGCGATTCGAGTTCGCTCTTCCGGTGACTTCTGAAAGGCGGCAGGGCAGAATAGCTTCTCGTATGTCAAGCCCTGGACCCGCGCAACCTTGATCCAGTATGACAAGAAGGCGCTTGATTCGGCGTGCTTGTCGTTAGGGTCGCTGGATACTACAAACGGCAGCGATATGTCCCAGTCCTGGAGGATACTGGAGCGGCCCAAACGTAGGGAAAGCGTCTTGTCAAACATGTAAATCATCCAAAAGATATGGATCTTCGTCTGCCTATCTTCGGGGTTGTCGTCTATCATGGTGTTGATACGATGCTAAGCGTAGGAGGTCAGTGTATGTCTCACACGCAGTTCGTATACGGATGCTTACATAGCCCAAGCTTTGACACAAGCCGGCAGCGCTAGATATCATGATCCAGCACAGAGATGGTTTGCACATCTCAACCGCCTGTGCAGCGCCAAGAACCAAGGCCATGATGTTTTCGTAGCTTGCTGGTAAAAATATAGCCAGCTGCGACAACGCTACCTCTGTTTGCCGCCGACATATGGTGGCGTACGTTTGGTAATTGGTGATATCCATGTTGGCTAGTGGTAAAGTCCGGAATTCATTGAAGACATTCTCCAAAACGCCGAAGGTGAGTACACGGCGAGCGGCGCTACAAGTTTCTGGGTTGTGATAGACATCGTAGAAGATTTCCTTGAGATTGGCCATTCTCAGAAACGGAAACACTACTGCGAAGGCCATCGTCGGATATTCTGGTCGTGTCAGCTCGACGTGAGGGGTACGAAGTCGATAGACCTACCACTAGCTTTCTCCAAAGCATAGCACGCGGTTTCCCAAGGCGGCCGTTCAAGCTTCGATGGATCAATATCGGAAAGTGAGTGGTTGATCAACCAGTTGGAAGACGTTGGGTTTTGACCGTGCTGGGAGACCATCTCCGAGAGTGCAGTAAGTGCTAACTTGACTTCTTCATTTTGCCCGATGGAGGGCGTGCTGCCAATAGCTTGTGCCAGCATTTCGCGAGCATAGTCTGACTGACTGTTGATAGAGCTTTCGCCTTCAAATGGCGCAGGCGTGGGTGCTTCTACCAGGGCACTTCCGGGACTCCTTGTAGGGCCAATTCGACTCGACCGCGACTGGCTGCTGGATTCCTGCGAATCTTTCTGTATGTCCAGAGAGCCAAGTTTCGTTGCGAGACTGGCAAGAACATTCTCAATACCCGCTAGACGGTCTTCAATCCTATCAATCTTCTTCTCGCTAAATGGGGTCAGCTCGAACAAGATTACTCAACGCCAGATCAGCAGAATTCGATTGCTTGGCCGGGTGACCAAAAACACCCGACGGGTAAGGCTGACGCCACAAGCAGCGAGATCCACTTTGGAAGCGGTTTAGACGTACTATTCTTCGGATATGTGAACTCTTTGTCGTTGCGCTTTTTGTTGAGGAGGAGCTGTTTTGCAAGCTGCACGAATCAGCGGCAGCTTCGAAGTCGAGCCAAGCAGAACGTACTCAATTTGCTTGCTTTGCAGTTCGAGCATGGCACGCCTCTGTCGCAACGTATCTTGCGTGTCCGACAGGCATCGCACTAGATGTGGGTCGTCAATTCGGGCGCTGCCCTGAGTGGTTGTCTCATGCGACTTACCGCACGCTTGGACATGGGTCCATCAAGCGACGCATCCATATCGTCGTCTTCCATAGTGCCGGTTACACAATCCGAGCCGCGGAATGCTACGCGTGGTGTGCAAGAGCGGCTTGTGATGTGGACTTTATCGGAGAGCGGGCTTCTCGGGATCCGGAGCTGTGGAAACTATCAACGATGTCATTACTCACGACAGAAATCTCGCACCGACAGGCAGCAGTCCAAGATCTCACCAACCAAATCCTCCAGAGTGTCGAAGTTACAGGGCCTTGAAGTCTAGATGCAGAATCCGGCCTCATCAGGCATCACTGTGAAGAACGCGCGATCTCGTGACTGTGCCAAGGCCCGGCAGTTGCCGATTGGCTCGCATTGCTCGTATCTCGCGCCATGGGGGAAATCTTCAGCCGCTTGCGACGCGCTCTCTGGTCGCCCAGTTCACCGCGGGTCCGGACTTTGCAAAGTCCGGCAACCATGGGCTATACGCTCGACTTCGACGAGATGGCTTTAGATATCAATGCAGTGCGCTGCTGTCCAATCGACAACAGACTGCGATACTCACACCAAATATGTCGACAAGTAAAGAGATGTTCGACACGCCCGAGCAGCGCGCCAGCGATGACGTCAAGACAAGTAAGGCGCCGACAGTCAAGAGCGATGTCGCGTCTGAAGAACCAAAGGGTGGCATGGGCGGCTATGTGGTGAGTATGTTGAATAAACACGAAGAAACACAATGCTAACGATGTTTCAGCGCATCTTCAAGTATGCAGATCGTACAAGCTGGGCGCTCAACATTGTTGCATTCATTGCAGCCATCGCCGCTGGAACGCTACTTCCGTTGATGTAAGAAATCTTCAAAAGCTTTTGTTCCATATAATAAAATATGCACTAACTTACATGTTCTATCACAGGGATCTAGTGTTTGGCAAATTCATCTCGACATTTACCGGATTTGCGACTGGCTCGATCACGCCAGCGCAATATCGTTCTGAGGTCAACAAATATACACTGTACTTCATCTACCTCTTCGTTGCGAAGTTTGCCCTCGTCTACATTCACTCGGTACGTGGCTAACAAGCTAAACCCCTGAAATTATGCTCACGTTCACAGGCATTTGTATCCATCGCAGCGATTCGCACCACCAAGGCTTTGCGACTAGACTTTATCAAAAGCATTCTCCGGCAGAATATCGCATACTTCGACTCGGATGAAGCCGCTTCGGTCACGACACAGGCTACGACGAACGGAAACAATGTCAACAACGGTATATCGGAGAAGCTCACGTTGACCGTCCAAGGTGTATCGACTTTCGTCTCGGCATTTATCATTGCCTTCATCGTCCAATGGAAGCTTACCCTGATCACAATAAGCATTGTTCCAACAATCATGATCGTTGTCGGTGTCTCCATCGGCATTGACACCAAGAACGAGAACCAATTGCTACCAATTTACTCCAAAGCCGGACAGCTGGCGGAAGAAGTGTTTTCCACAGTACGCACAGTCCATGCATTCTGGCTTCATCCATTACTGTCTCGCAAGTATGACAAGCTTCTTGGCGATGCCCAGGAGGTTGGTATGAAGAAGTCTCCGAACTATGCCGTCATGTTCTCAGTCGAGTTCTTCTGCATCTATGCAGGCTATGGCTTGGCCTTCTGGCAAGGTATTCGGATGTGGGCCAGGGGCGAAGTCAAAGAGAGTGGTATGTAAAGCACTTACTTGAATCGGAATAATACTCCGATCTGCCCGTCCAGTAACATTATGTACTAATCAATCGATAGGTGACGTGTTCACTGTCATTCTTGCCGTCATTGTCGCTGCGACAGCCATGACGACAATAGCACCTCAGATTATCTCTCTGACGAAAGCCGCTTCCTCTGCCGACGAGTTGTTCAAAACGATCGATCGGAAGTCCGAAATTGATCCCCTGAGCGATGATGGCAAGGTGCCCAGCGTGTGCGAAGGTGTTGTCGAGATTCGAGACGTCAGCTTTGCCTATCCAGCTAGACCTGACATCACGGTCCTGAAGAGCTTGACGCTATCTGCACCTGCTGGGAAGACCACAGCCCTTGTAGGAGCATCGGGGAGCGGCAAATCGACGATCATCGGCTTGATCGAGCGTTGGTATGATCAGGCCAGCGGTGCCATATACCTCGATGGTACTGACATACGAGAGCTCAACCTCACCTGGCTACGTACGAACATCCGATTGGTACAGCAAGAGCCCGTGTTGTTCTCTGGTACTGTGTACGAGAACGTCGCGTTCGGCTTGTTCGGCACTGACAAGGCCAACTTGCCTGAGAGCGAGCAGCGGGCGCTCGTGGAGAAGGCCTGTAAGAACGCTTATGCTGAAGAGTTCATCGAGCGGCTACCGAAGGTTGGTCATATCGCTTTTCACTGACTCGTCGTGCGGATCGCTAACGTTTGTAGGGTTACGAGACACAGCTGGGTGAGCGTGCTATGAACCTTTCAGGTGGTCAGAAGCAACGATTGGCCATCGCGCGCAGTATCGTCTCTGAGCCGACTGTTCTCTTGTTGGATGAAGCCACTAGTGCTTTGGACCCAAAGGCAGAGAAGATCGTACAACAAGCACTCGAGCGTGTCTCCCAAGGTCGCACAACCATCGTCATCGCTCACAAGCTTTCCACCATTCGCAATGCCGACAACATCGCAGTCATGGCTGCTGGAATTGTCGTTGAACAGGGTTCACACGACGAGCTTCTCGCTGCTGGCGGTGCGTACGCTCGTCTCGTCAGAGCCCAGGATCTCGGCCAGGCAGAGGGTGAAGAGCAGGAAGACCAGGATTTTGCCGCAGAGAAGATCGATCTGGTACGGACGCAGACCCAGGCATCCGCCCTTGGCCAGGAATTGAAGACGTCAGACAAGGGTGGCATTGATTACAACCTGGTGAAGTGTGCCTGGATAGTCCTCAGGGAACAGGGTGCTCTTTGGAGGTGTTTTCTCATCTTGGGAATTGCAACAATAGCTGGAGGTAAGTCGCCGACTCGTTTCTTGTTCGACTATTACTGACCCATTGCAGGAGCGACGTACCCAGCACAAGCCATCCTGTTCTCTCGCGTCGTCGAGGCCTTTCAATTGTCCTCCAAGAGGGCAGTAGAACAGGGCGATTTTTACTCCTTGATGTTCTTCATTGTCGCCATTGGCAACCTTGTTGTCTATGGCGCTGTGGGCTGGGCCAGCAACGTTGTCGCACAGGTTGTCGCCAGGGTATACAGACGGGAGATTTTCGACCTCGTCCTCAGGCAAGACATGGCATTCTTCGACGACCAAGACAATGCGAGCGGCGCGCTCGCCTCGAAACTCGGAGCCTACCCTGACGCCCTTCGGGATCTTATGGGCTTTAACCTGATGCTCATATTCATCAACATCGTCAACATCGTTTCTTCCTCGATTCTTGCCATCGTTGTTGGCTGGAAGCTTGGCCTTGTAGTTGTCTTCGGAGGTTAGTATCACTTCTCAGTTGTTTCCAGTAATCGACACTGACTTGGCGCAGCTATGCCTCCAATCGTGTTTTCTGGGTACCTCAGGATTCGACTTGAGTTCAAGCTAGAGGACCTCACGGGCAAACGTTTCGCCAGCAGCGCTGCTCTCGCATCTGAAGCAGTATCCGCCATTCGCACAGTCTCCAGTCTCGCACTCGAAAGACACATCCTCGCCCGGTACGAAGATCGACTACGAGGTGTCGCAAGAGACGGCATCAAAGCTTTAGTGTGGACCATGTTTTGGTACGCACTGACGCAGTCCATCTCATTCCTGGCAATGGCCCTGGGCTTTTGGTACGGCGGCCGACTGATCAGCACGGGAGAGTACACGACTACCCAATTCTTCACGGTCTTCATCGGTGTCATTTTCTCCGGAGAAGCAGCTGCAGCCTTCTTCTCCTACACTACAAGTCTCACAAAGTCGGCCACTGCGGCTAACTACATCTTTCGGTTGCGGGCAATGAAGCCTGCAGTGCAGGAAAACGCATCAAAGCCGCCATTTGACGACGAGAAGGACAAGAGCCCAGCGCATATTGAGGTGCAGGACCTTGCTTTTGCGTACAAGTCTCGGCCCCATGCCAAGGTGCTGGAAGGTATCGATATCGATGTGCGACCTGGTCAATTCATTGCTCTCGTCGGCGCTTCGGGCTGTGGAAAGTCAACAATGGTTTCGCTCTTGGAGAGGTTCTATGATCCCGTTGCAGGGCGCATCACCTGTGACGACACTCCGTTGATGGACCTCTGTCCACGCAAGTACCGCCGAGATGTGTCTTTGGTCCAGCAAGAGCCAGTCCTATATCAAGGCTCGGTCCGGGACAACATCGCCATGGGTGTTGAAGTCGACGTGACTGATGCTCAGGTCGAAGCCGCAGCCAAGCAGTCGAACATATCCGACTTCGTTGCATCTTTGCCAAACGGCTTTGCGACGATGTGCGGTAGCAGAGGCACGCAGCTATCGGGTGGGCAGCGCCAGCGTATTGCCATCGCCAGGGCACTCATCCGCGAGCCACGACTACTCCTTCTTGACGAAGCTACTTCCGCACTAGATACTGAATCCGAGAGGGTAGTCCAAGCGGCGCTCGAGGAAGCGCAGAGTGGACGTACAACTGTCGCGGTGGCGCATCGTCTCAGTACTATCAAGGATGCGGACATGATCATGGTGTTCGCGAGGGGAAAGATTGTGGAAAGTGGCACACATCAAGAACTGCTTGACAGGAAAGGTGTGTACTATGAGATGTGCTTGGGCCAAAGTATGGATCGGACGGTCCCGACATGAAGCTCGAAGCACGGCTCATTGTTTTCTCGTCGTCTGCACTACGATCGTGAATAGAACCATTGATAGACTGTACGAAAAGTAATATACCCATCTTCATTTCTCGACTCGATAGCTGTCCGCGTCTATCATGAAAACGTGCATCGTGCGGTCGCCTGAGCAGGAAATCCAGTTTGCGGACAGTTCGCCCGACGAAACCATGACGTACCTAGTGAGTGGCTCCGGTTCCACCTGGTGCCACAAGGCAAGTGAGCACACGACAGTAGATGATGCGCGAAATGGCCTGA